CACAAACATTGAGGCATCACACAAACATAGCAGCATCACACAAACATTGAGGCATCACACAAACATAGCAATATCACACAATCATTTCAGTATCACACAAACACAGAAGCATCACACAAACATAGCAATGTCACACATACATTGAGGCATCACAGAAGAATTTCAGCATCACACAAACATAGAGGCATCACACAAACATAGCAGTATCACACAAACACAGAGGCATCACACAAACATACTAACATCACACAAACACTGAGGCATCACACAAACATAGCAGTGTCAAACATACATTGAGGCATCTCACAAACATATCAATAGCACACAAACACAGAGGCATCACACAGACATATCAATAGTACACAAACACAGAGGCATCACACAGACATATCAATAGCAAACAAACGCAGAGGCATCACACAAACGTAGCAATATCACACAAACATAGAGGCATCATACAAACATAGCAGTATCACACAAACACAGAGGCATCACACAACCATACTAACATCACACAATCATAGAGGCATCACACAAACAAAGCAGCATCACACAAACATTGAGGCATCACACAAACATGGCAATAGCACACAAACACAGATGCATCACACAAAAAGCAATATCACACAATCATTTCAGTATAACACAAACACAGAGGCATCACACAAACATAGCAATATCACACAAACATAGCAGTATCACACAAACACAGATGCAGCAGACAAACAAAGCAATATCACGCAAACACAGAGGCATCACGCATACATAGCAATAGCACACAAAAACAGATGCATCACACAAACATTGCAATATCACACAAACATAGAGGCATCATACAAACATAGCAATATCAGACAAACACAGATGCATCACACAAACATAGCAATATCACACAAACGCGCAGTTATCACACAAACATAGCAATATCGCACAAACACAGAGACATCACACAGACATTGCAATATCACACAAACATAGAGGCATCATACAAACATAGCAGTACCACACAAACACAGAGGCATCACAGAAACATACTAACATCACACAATCATAGAGGCATCACACAAACATAGCAGCATCACACAAACATGGCAATAGCACACAAACACAGATCCATCACACAAACATAGCAATATCACAGAATCATTTCAGTATCACACAAACACAGAGGCATCACACAAACATAGAGGCATCACACAAACATAGGAGTATCACACAAACACAGAGGCATCACACAAACGTAGCAATATCACACAAACACAGAGGCATCACATAAACATAGCAGTATCACACAAACATTGAGGCATCACACAAACATAGCAATATCACACAAACACAGATGCATCACACAAACATAGCAATATCACACAAACGCGCAGTTATCACACAAACATAGCAATGTCGCACAATCATAGAGGCATCACACAAACATAGCAGCATCACACAAACATGGCAATAGCACACAAACACAGATCCATCACACAAACATAGCAATATCACAGAATCATTTCAGTATCACACAAACACAGAGGCATCACACAAACATAGAGGCATCACACAAACATGGCAATAGCACACAAACACAGAGGCATCACACAAACATAGAGGCATCACACAAACATAGGAGTATCACACAAACACAGAGGCATCACACAAACGTAGCAATATCACACAAACACAGAGGCATCACATAAACATAGCAGTATCACACAAACATTGAGGGATCACACAAACATAGCAATATCACACAAACACAGATGCATCACACAAACATAGCAATATCACACAAACGCGCAGTTATCACACAAACATAGCAATATTGCACAAACACAGAGGCATCACACAGACATAGCAGTATCACACAAACATAGCAGTATCACACAAACATTGAGGCATCACACACACATACTAATATCACACAAACACAGAGAGGCATCACACACGAATTTCAGCATCACACAAACACAGAGGCATCACGCAAACATAGCAATGTCGCACAAACACAGAGGCATCACACAAACATTGAGGCATCACACAAACATAGAGGCATCACACAAACACAGAGGCATCACACAAGCATAGCAATAGCACACAAACACAGAGAGGCATCATACAAACATAGCAATATCACACAAACCTTGAGGCATCACACAAACACAGAGGCATCACACAAACACAGAGGCATCACACAAACATACTAACATCACACAACCACAGAGGCATCACACAAACATAGCAATAGCACACAAACACAGATGCATCACACAAACGTAGCAATATCACACAAACACAGAGGCATCATACAAACATAGCAGTATCACACAAACACAGAGGCATCACACAGACATAGCAATAGCACACAAACACAGATGCATCACACAAACATAGCAGTATCACACAAACATAGAGGCATCACACAAACATAGCAGTACCACACAAACACAGAGGCATCACACAAACATACTAACATGACACAATCATAGAGGCATCACACAAACATAGCAATATCACAGAATCATTTCAGTATCACACAAACAGAGGCATCACACAAACACAGAGGCATCACACCGACATAGCAATATCACACAAACACAGAGGCATCACACAAACATAGCAATATCACACAAACACAGATGCATTGTACCAACATAGCAGTATCATACAAACACAGAGGCATTACACAAACATACTAACATCACACAATCACTGAGGCATCACACAAACATAGCAATATCACACAATCATTTCAGTATCACACAAACACAGAGGCATCACACAAACATAGAGGCATCACACAAATATAGAGGCATCACACAAACATAGAGGCATCACACAAACATAGGAGTATCACACAAATACAGAGGCATCACACCGATATAGCAATATCACACAAACACAGAGGCATCACACAAACATAGCAATAGCTATGTCAGGAATCCATGCACGTATCACATAATAGCACATGCATCACAAATACAAATACGTATCATACAACCAGAGGTATCTCACAAACAAATAGGTATCACACAGAAAGTTTCAACGACATCTCCCCGTCGTCATTAATCCATCATTCTGTCGATGATGAAGAACTCCATAGCTTATGTATACTTACGTCTTTAGTTTTGAAATTTGGAGCATTAGTAGGCTAAACTTAAACATTCTAATATCACATATTGCCTTTAACAAGTCTTGTCCACGAGGCCAGGCACGTTTAAAACACACCTACAACTTCTACAAATGTTTTCGATACGGTCAGTTCACATTTGGAAATGCTGCATTTCCCTTTTGTTGAAGATTTGATGCCTGAGACAGTACTGAAACCCACCTGGGTGTATTTGCTCGCCATGAATGGACAATGATATGTATGATAACTTCTCAGGGGGGGTTGCATTATTGCTCTACAGTATTATTCAACTCAGACTATACATATCTCATCACTATGGTGTTTACGTCTCATGCCAGTTTTAATGGAGCGCTGACAGAGCGCTGTATGGGGCCTGATCTGCAAATACACCAACATACCAAAGACCCCAAAAACTTATCCTTTATTCACGCGTCACCATTTTTCATGTTAATTTGTATTAGTAATCCCAGCAGAACAGGTATTACTTACTTATAACGAAACAGTAATAGCATTTTTTTGAGAACCTGTCTTGTCCATGAGAAAAATGTGTCCGCAATGTGAAATGAACAAGCATGCAGATTTCAGTCACCTGATGCGTCAGACTGTCAGTCTCACGGCTCCACCACGGCACTTGGGTATTTTCAGGGTGGGTTCACGTCGTTGCCTGCTGAAGAGGCAGCATTCATCCCGGCTGTAACATCGGCGTTTAGGTCAAAGGTCATACCGTGGATGTGTCATGGAAATATTTAGAAACGAATTATATAGTAGTTATTTCGAGTATAAAAAAAGTGTGCAAAAATTCACCATGCAACTCATTTCATCACGTTTTCATCTCGTATAACGCGGACACGAATGATGTCGTTGTCCTGTTGTTGAAAGAGTTCAATCATCCGAAGCATGTCAATAATCACACCGGCACAGTGTCACAGAAATCGATGCGTTACACACAAGAGTAGGACACTGACAAGTAGGGCATCCTGGAGTGAGTGAGTGAGTGAGTGAGTGAGTGAGTGTGGGTTTGCGTAGCCTTGTAAACAATATTTCAGCAAGATCATAATAGGGACACCACTAATGGGCTTCAGAGATTAGAGCCCGAGCCTTCGACCAGTCGATCCTACTGACCAGTCACGGTAGTTAATGGTACGATTCCATGTATTCCCCGTGTTTAAAGGTCAAGATTGGAATCATCAATTTCTGCGGTACGTGGAACATATAGACCTGAACGCGTCGGGGATGTCCGGAGATTGTGTAACTGCGTGGAACATATAGATCTGAAGGTCAGGGATGTCCGGAGATTGTGGAACTAGGTGGAACATATAGACCTGAACGTCGGGGATGTCCGGAGATTGTGGGACTGCGTAGAACATATAGATCTGAAGGTCAGGGATGTCCGGAGATTGTGGGACTAGGTGGAACATATAGACCTGAACGCGTCGGGGATGTCCGGAGATTGTGTAACTGCGTGGAACATATAGACCTGAACGCGTCGGGGATGTCCGGAGATTGTGTAACTGCGTGGAACATATAGACCTGAACGTCGGGGATGTCCGGAGATTGTGGAACTACGTGGAACATATAGACCTGAACGCGTCGGGGATGTCCGGAGATTGTGTAACTACGTGGAACATATAGACCTGAACGCGTCGGGGATGTCCAGAAAGTGTGTAACTGCGTGGAACATATAGACCTGAACGCGTCGGGGATGTCCGGAGATTGTGTAACTGCGTGGAACATATAGACCTGAACGTCGGGGATGTCCGGAGATTGTGGAACGACGTGGAACATACAGATTTGAACGTCGGGGATGTCCGGAGATTGTGGAACTACGTGGAACATACAGATCTGAACGCGTCGGGGATGTCCGGAGATTGTGGAACTAGGTGGAACATATAGATCTGAACGTCAGGGATGTCCGGAGATTGTGGGACTGCGTGGAACATATAGATCTGAAGTTCGGGGATGTCCGGAGATTGTGGGACTGCGTGGAACATATAGATCTGAAGGTCGGGGATGTCCGGAGGTATTCTAGAACTAGGTGGAACATATAGATCTGAACGTCAGGGATGTCCGGAGATTGTGGGACTGCATGGAACATATAGATCTGAAGGTCAGGGATGTCCGGAGATTGTGGGACTGCGTGGAACATATAGATCTGAAGGTCGGGGATGTCCGGAGCTTGTGGAACTAGGTGGAACATATAGACCTGAACGTCGGGGATGTCCGGAGATTGTGGGACTGCGTGGAACATATAGATCTGAAGGTCAGGGATGTCCGGAGATTGTGGGACTGCGTGGAACATATAGATCTGAAGGTCGGGGATGTCCGGAGATTGTGGGACAAGGTGGAACATATAGACCTGAACGTCGGTGATGTCCCGGAATTCGCTGTTTGATGGGTAGCCAGTGCAGTTCTCTGAGAATTGGAGTGATGCGTTCATGTAGTCTAGTGCGGGTTATGAGGTGGGCTGCTTTGATTTGAACTCTCTGGAGATGTGAGACAACGCCTGATCCAGATGGGACGAGACGTAAGAATGAATCAACGTTTTGCAGGTATCAGAATCGAAATATTTTCGGATTCTACCGATGGTGTGGAGCTTGAAATTGGCGGTTCTTGCAGTTTTGAGTGCCTGTGCTTTTTCTGACAAGCAATAATTTTGTCCATTTCAACTCCAAGATTTTTGAAGATGTTCCCACCAAAAGTCTGTGCTATCAACTTTGTTTAGCTGTTGAGGTGTTCCTATGACGATAAACTCAGTTTTATCACTGTTGAACTTTAGAACATTAGCTGACATCCAGTCCTGGATGCACTTGATGCATATCTATAGTTGGTCAACTCCATCCTGGATTCTCTTATGCTTTATGCCAATGTACAACTGCTGATCATTTGCATAGCTGTGGAAGTTGAGTGAATGCTGACGAATTATACTTCCTAGAGGCTGCATGTACATCGAAAAGAGGGCAGGACATGTACATAGATATATTAAGGTCACTGAAAGCTTTTTATAGGTTTATTCTTGTATATACTGTACACATCCTTTTTAAATACCTTGTAAATTCCTTCCACAAATCTATGTTGTCAATGTGTTTTCATATTGTAAATATGACATATGTAACTTCTGGGAAAGGGCGTTCCTAAGTTGGATAACCTGTGCCCAATCCATTTCATTTTCGAATAAAATATGTTTTTTTTAAAAGAGGACAGGACCCAGCACAGATCCTTGTGGAACTCCACGCTTCAGGTCCTTAGGATCAGAACTGACTCCGTCGATCTGTACGCTCATAGATCTCTTGTCAAGGTAAGATTCCAACCAAGCTAGAACTGTGCCTGCTACGCCAAAGGTGTGCTTGAGGCGAGATAGCAAAATGCAATGGTCCACAGAGTCAAAAGCCGCAGACAGATCCAGCAGAACCAGCAAAACAACTTCCTGTCTGTCCAAAGATAGGAGGACGTCATTGTACACCCTCAGTAAAGCAGTTTCTGTCGAATGGGATTTTCTGTAGGCAGATTGAAAAGGTTCCTCGATATTATGTTTGGATACATGTTTATTGAGTTGCTTCATGACCACTTTCTCCATTATTTTAGAAAGAAAAGGAAGGTTTGATACGGGTCTGTAGTTTTTAAGTTCCAGAGGATCCAGAGACGGTTTCTTGAGAAAAGGCGTCACGAGTGCCTGCTTGAAACATTGAGGTACTATACCAGAGTCAAGATAGCTGTTGATCACAGAACATGCTGCTGTCGTCACTACCGGCAAGCACTGACGGAATAACCACGTTGGCACTGGATCAAGTTGGCATGGGGCCTCCTGAACAAGCTTAATGAAATCTGATCCACAGATTTGGTAGAAATGATAAAGTCCTAAACCATGAAATTTTACATATAAGGGTCCTGATGTGATTGTTGTCTGGTAATGTCCGACACTATCTTGTCAACTTTGTTGGTAAAGAACTCAACCAAAGTGTTAGCCTGAAGTTTGGATTCTGACTCACTTCGGTCGGCAGTCATCACCTTCACCTCAGTCAACTTCTTGACCAGGGAAAACAACTATTTGCAGTTGTGCTTATTTTGACTGATACTGTCTTTGATGTGGGCTAACTTGGATTTATCAACAAGCTCATTAACTGTAATAGGAGCATGCTGGAATATTTGCCTGTGAACTTCCAGTTTGGTACTTCGCCAGGTCTTTTTTACCCGACGCCGTTTATGTTTTGCTTTGAGAATATCCTTAGTAATCCACACCGATTTTGGTCGTATGACAATTCTTGCAGTTTTCTTTGGAGAACTTCAGACAATACATCGTTGTATGCTGTAGGCTTGTTATCCACAATGTGTGCACATGTTGACGTGGAATCTAAAACTGGTCTGCTCAAGAAACACTCACAGACGTCAATGACAAATCTGTCGACATCAATGTCCCGTGTCTTTCGGTATGTAACACATTTCCGTAATGGTCCAGATTTCTGCAGATTAAGGGAGGTAAACACACTAAAGTGATCAGAGAGGCCATGATCAACGACGTCTACTGACGAAACTATGACGTCATCTGTCTTGGTGATGACGAGATCAAGTGTAAGGCCACTCTTATGTGTGGGTGAAGATACATGTTGCGTCAGTCCTGCAGCGAACAGAATATCCGTGAAGTTTTCAGATAACAAACCTCCAGTATCATTCACATGGATGTTAAAATCGCCGACCATCAAAAGATGATGATTAGTTGAGGAGACAACCTCAATTAAATCAGCCAGGTCTGACAGTGTTGTTGACTGAGAAACTCTGTATGTCTGTGAAGAAGGGGGCCTATAGACTGGTACAAGCCTGATATGGGTGTTTCCTATTTTAACACACAGATCCAAAAACTCCAGAGATTCATAGTTATTAGCGTCTGTTTTTGTTGGTTTGACGCTGATAGGGGTCTTGAATAAAACGATGATGCCACCACCTTTCCTGTATTCCCTGTTCTGTAGAACACAAGAGTATCCATCAGGCAACATATCTCTGATTATGGTATCATCGCCTTTCTTCAACCACGAGTCTGTTATTACACAAATGTCAATATCATGCTCCACCATGTATTCATTAAGTTCACTGGATTTGTTGCGTACCGAGCGAGCATTTAACATGCATAATTTGAACTTTGTACTTTCTCTTGTTGCACTCGTTGCTATGGGGACTCACTGTTGGTACAGTTTTTGGCTTAGGAAAACAAAATGATGTAATAACTTTGATTGACCTTGGTATCTTTCTCCCTGCTCTGCAACCACGCTTCTTGAATCTCTTTCTCTGTCTCTTGATGGTTACATGAAAGTCAATCAGTGGAAGATTAGTACACCAGCTGAATGTGCAGATTGATTGCCCGATGAGGAGGGGATGTCCGGAGATTGTGGAACTACGTGGATTTCGAAACAATTTCAGGCTTAAAATTATCGTGAAGTAATCGAAATCATAGACTGTCGTAATACAGGCCTAAGGTATTGTAAGATTTTGTGAATCTAAGACAGCTCAACACCTGTTATTTGTCTATTTATCTTCATCCAAGATGCTGGACCACTTTGTAATAGATATTAAATAATCAGCTTTATGTTAAAAATGATGTTAAACTTTACGATTCAAATCGATCCTTCGAGCACTCAAGAAGTCAGTAAAGAATTTACGTCAGTAACAACATTAACCGAGATAGCGATCTCCATAACTTAGGAGTCGATAGCCTTAGATACATGTTGTATCAAGTGTAAGTGTGAAACAGTATACTTTTTCGCTAATTTAGGAAGGCCAAAAGCAGATGGTGTCGGCAGGCTACAGAAGTGTCCTTGACCTTTCGTATAACTTAGAGGCCGTGGTTAGACGAGCCCTTGCTCAATGTAATAGTATTCCTGTAGCGGAAAATGTCGACCGCAATATCTTCTTAGTCGCATTTCTATCAATACTATTGCAGTTTTATAAAGTAAATCAATCTACATAGAATGACAAAGTGCAAAACCATTAGCGTTCCAGGTCAGTTTTTACATCGAGAATTGTCTCATACGAGCGCTCTCAAGAACAGAATTTAGAATTTAAAGTTTATATATTTATTTAACAAGGAAAGACAATTAATAGAATATGTGTATAGTATACATGGAAAAAACATGTTTGATTGTTTCAAGCAAAGGTATTAGCATTTTGTTTAGCTTTGTTTCAATTTTAAAAATAAAATAATACATAGGTTATTGAAATTATTGAAAGATACATATTATCTAGTACTTTTAAGAATGGGGATCTCAAAAATGCGCCGTGAAAACTTAACATTGTCCATTTGTTTAGTAAATTCATGTATCTTAATTCATTAATTCATTGAAATGTACTGATCAATATATTATCGACATCTGTTTTTACCACAATAATCTTTAATTTTTGTCTCAATGGATCGATTTTAAAATAATGTCGGTCCTCTTTAATTCATACAATAAGCAGTATTGACAACCGACCGAATGCTGAATAACTGCTGTTCATTCAAAGGTTTCATCGTTGTCCTTTAGAATAACGTCCCTTACTTTCGTCCTTGACTTTCTCAGTGATGTGTTCACTTTTCCCACAGAATTCTGCCGTTCACGAGTGGTCCACGCGATGGGGAAAGTAGTGAAATCTCCTCCTTTAAATGGTGTGGCAACACTTTGCTGCGTTGAGTTATAGTTTGGGGTTTGTCACGGCATCTGTTAAGACGGCATCATAAGAACGAAACGTCTGTATGTAGGATACATGTAGGATACCTGTAGGATACATGCAGGATACTATTAGATACCTGTAGGATACTGTAGGATACTGTAGGATACATGTAGGATACTGTAGGATACCTGTAAGATACACGTAGGGTAATGTAGGATACCTGTAGGATACTGTAGGATACATTGTAGGATACATGTAGGATACCTGTAGAATACTGTAAGATACCTGTAAGATACTGTAGGATACATGTAGGATAATGTAGGATACCTGTAAGATACTGTAGGATACATTGTAGGATACATGTAGGGTACTGTAGGATACATGTAGGATACTGTAAGATACCTGTAAGATACTGTAGGATACATGTAGGATACTGTAGGATACATGTAAGATACTGTAGGATACATGTAAGATACTGTAGGATACATTGTAGGATACTGTAGGATACATTGTAGGATAATGTAGGATACATGTAGGATACTGTAAGATACCTGTAATATACTGTAAGATACCTGTAAGATACTGTAGGATACATGTAGGATAATGTAGGATACCTGTAAGATACTAGTAGGATACCTGTAAGATACTTGTAGGATACCTGTAAGATACTTGTAGGATACTTGTAGGATACCTGTAAGATACTTGTAGGATACCTGTAAGATATTTGTAAGATACCTGTAAGATACTAGTAGGATACCTTTAATATACGTGTAGGATACCTGTAAGATACTTGTAGGATAC